GCCCTTCAGGTGTAGGAACCAGCAGACGCACAAGGACCAGTAGACACAGAGGGCGAGTAACTCTGGCCAGGAGACAGACTGTGGGGGGACAGACAGAGCTGACCCCAGAGAAAACAGAGTCCACTGAATTTTCTGACAAGTATCCCCAGAGAGATGTGAGATTTAGCATCCATAAAACAAGAAAAGGTTACTATAAAATTTTTGAAAAAGAAGCGATCTGAGAACAAGAAGCAGCTCATGGAGAAAAATACAACAGAAGAAATAGAAGAAAAAGTCAAGGAAACCCTCCTGAATTTAAATCGCCAAAGTCAGAGAAGTGGAAACGTGTGTGTACTAAAGTAATAGTAGCCAGTAACATGTTTGGGCACATGTCGCCTTCCAGGTCCTGTTTTAAGTGTTTTAGTCATTTAATCCCCAAGTTTTTTTGAGCTAGAATAGGACTCATGTGGACAAAAACACATGCTTCTCCTCTTGCAGTCCTGGGAGCCAGAGCCCGATATCAGTCTCTCTGCGCTAAAGTCAGGTGTCGGCAAGGTGGTTCCCTCAGGGGTCCTCAGGGGAAAGCTCATTTCCTTCTTTCCCCACCCCCACCCCATTTCTCACCTTCATGGTCACATTTCTACTCTGTCTGGCCCCTTCTGCGTCCCTCTTATAAGGCAATCACATCTGGCCAGCAGGTGATCCAGGGTCACCTCCTCACTTTAGGACTCGAATTCAATCACACCTGCCAAGCTCCCTTTGCCATGAAAGACATCCTGGAATTCTGGGGGGTGTGACCTGGATGCCTGGAGGCTATTTTTCGGCCCAGCAGGAGGGGATGGTCAACAGTAATGGAGCAGGTAGGGGACCTGGAGAAGGGCCAGATAGGGAGGCCCAAGGATGGAGAAAGACAGGGAGGAGGGGGAGAGCTATGGCGGCCATGGCAGGGCCACCCTCCTGGAGGTACTGGCCGTCGCCCGCCAGGGGAGCGGGTGTTTGTCTGTCTGAAGCTGCACGCCATTCGACAGTGGGGACAGACAGGAGCCAGACCCGGTCACCTGGAGGCTGGCCACCAGCTCGTGCATGACCTGGAGGAAGCTCTTCCCCTCTGGGGCTCAGTCTCCACCTCTGTCAAATGGAGCCCTGGGACTTGGTGACCTGTGCTGGCAGGATCCCAGGCATTTACCAAGGATCAGAGGCTGGAGCAGGGCGCTCCTCCTGGCCTTGTGAGCACCGTTTACAGCTCCACGGGACACGCTGCGCTTGGGCGGTGGCCCAGCCGCTGGGGCTGCATGGGAACCCAAGGGTTGCGCAATACCCCGGCGCAGCTGGCGGGCTCCGAAAAAGTTGTTTTTCACCAAGTCCAGCTGGAGGAGCAGCTGGGAGGCCGGCTCTGCCCAGTGGGAGCAGTCAGGCCTGGGGGCTGGGAGGACAGAGGTCTTGAGCACCATGGAGCCCACTTCTGCTACAGCAGGGCCAGCCAGAGTAGGCGAGAAGGTGACCTTCAACTCGGAGGAGGGCTGTCTGAGAGCTGGCTCTTCCTTGGAGGGGAACAGGCCTTCCGGGGCACTGAAACTCAGAGCTGGAGGCCCCGACAGAGATCAGCTAGACAGTATGAAGACCAAGATCACAGTCTGGGCTCACTGACCCCCGAGCTCAGAGACTCCACACCCCACCTCCCATTCCACAGATGGGCAGCCCAAGGCCAGAGACAGGGAGGGGCTGGCCTTGGTCACTAGGGGCTGGCAGCAGGGAGTGGAAGGACAGGAAGTGTTTAGGGGACACTTTGGGGGCCAGAGCCTGAGTCAGGAACCTCATCCGTGCCATCTAACTCAGTGCTCACGCGTTCAGTTCGTCTCCGTTCAGATGACCCAGACTGGGAAGAAAATGATACTATCTTCCTTTTACAGACGGTGAGGCTAAAGCTCGGAGTCGTCATTTGAACTCAGCCTCCTGACCCCACACCCCTGCTGTGCTCCTTGGCCCCCCACGCTGGATGTCGGGGCTGGAGGGGAGGCCCAGGGAGGCTTAGAGAGGCCTTCAATGCTGGGATGCAGGGTGGACTCAATCCAGACAAACCCAGGAGGGCACCGCCCACTCGTGAGCGAGCGAGCAGGGCGTGGGGACGATTGCGACACGTCTGCCCATCTGCTTCCCTTGCTGTGTTCGGGGCGGACGCAGGTGGTCGGGAAGGCAATCTGAGGATGGGGACAGGCGTCCGGGGAGGGGAGGTGGGCTTCTATCCCCCATGGGGTAGGTATTCATGCAGGGGCAGTTGTGACAGGTGGGACCCTTAGACCTGGTTCCAGAAATCCCTTCAGTGAACCCTGACCCCTCAGATTTGAGGGGTGGGGGCTATGGTTTCCCCATGCTCTCCTGAGAACTCACTGTTCAGATAACTAAGGGTTATCGGTGTCTTCTTCCAGAGCCCAGCCCCCAACTCCTGGCAGGAGCCTTCTCTCAGCTGGGCCCAAAGATGCAGGGACCAGGGACCATTCTCTAGGTGCCACTGTGTATGGGGAACAGAGCCCTTCCCCCACCATGAGAGTGACAGCAGAACCCGGAAACGTGGGCAGAGTGGACCCTGGGAATGCTCCAGAGTGGGAGGGCGCAGGAGCCCAGGTGGGCTGGGGAGAGGGGGTGGAGGTGGCCAGGGCCTGGGGGGCATTGGCCCAATCTGGGTGGAGACTGGGAAGTGGGCTGAACCAGGCTCTAGGCCTGGCTCTGACTATCCCAGAAGACGCAGGCGGCAGAGTGGATGGCGAGAGGAGAGAGAGCAACATTATCACCCTCGGGGACGAGACAGGTGGGTGTATGGAGGGTAGACATGAACAGCGAGGGCCTGGTTCCTGCCTCCCCAGTGGGGCTGGGCGTGGCCTGGGTACAGAGGGTGGTGAGCGCCCGCAGCGATCTGAGCCTGCGTATTTCAAAACTGGGACCCATGAACCAGATCAGGGAGCCCTTGAGAAAAAGCTGCCTGCAGCTGTCTTCCGGTCCCTCCTGGGCGTGGATTCTGATGCTCCTCTGTCTGATCCTTCCAAGCAGCCACTGTGTGCGCCATCACCGGCCACCACCTGGCGCCATTGATGCCCAGTGCGTCAGTCTCCAGAAATCTCCTGCAAGTCCCGCCACGGCGCCCCTCGGGATCCTGGCAGCTACTATTGCCATCTGAGGCCAGCTCCTGGCATCAGCCCTGAGGAGGCTCATTGAAGCCTGGACCTCTAGAATCTTGGACTCAAAGCGGAAAAGGCCTTCAAATTTTGCAGCTCACTACTCCCTTGAGAGAGAAGTGGCCTGTGGTTACACCGCAACCCTGGCCAGCTGGGGACAGACTTTGTCTCTCTGTGAGGGTCCCAGATCCTACTGGGTTTGGTGCTAAGAGCCCAGGATTGGGTCAACAGCCCTGGGGCCACTCACCCTCAGCCCCGATGCCCCCCATGGAGCCATCCCAAGGACTCTCCCTGGGCAAGTTTAGGGGCCCATGCCCTGCTCCAGCCACCCTGAGCTGTGTCCCTGGAACTCCTGCTTTAAAAAAAAAAAATCTCTTTCTGCCTCAGTTTCTCTACTGTCGAGTGGGCAACATTGAAGTGCAATAGGACAGACGTGGCAAAAGCACTGCCCTGTGGCGGGACACACAAGGTGAGGGTGCGTGGGAGCTCCCCGAAACGGGTGGCTTCCCAACTGCTACACCCAACACCTCATGTCCGCAGCAGTCGGGGGCAGTACAAGCATTCCTCTTGTGCAGAGAACGAGGCAAGGCCACGACAGGAAAAGGGACGCCTCTCGCCCAAGACCACCAAGATAGAAGGAAGTGGAGGAGCCGGGATCTGAGCCGTGGTTGACTGATTTGGGCTGGCCCTCCACAGAGTCAGGTGGACAGCAAAACGCCACACAGCTCCGAAAGGTGGTGTGTCCTGGTGCTCAGCTGTTAGAGTTCCAGGACTTGATCTGAAGAAACCTGTTAGAAGCCCAGGCATTTGCCCAAAGAAACCCGTTAGAGGCCTGGGTCTTCGTAAAGGTAGAAACTTGCTAGGCCCCGGGTCTTTGCCTGTAGAAACCTGTTAGGGGCCTGAGTCTTTGCCCATAGAAACTTGTTAGAGGCCCAGGTCCTTGTGTGTAGAAACCCGCTAGAGGCCCAGGTCTTTGCGTGTAGAAACCTGTTAGGCCCAAGTGTTTGCCTGTAGAAACTTGCTAGAGGCCCAGGTCTTTGCCCATAAAATCCTGTTAGAGGACTGGGTCTTTACGTATAGAAACCTCTTAGAGACCCGAGTCTTTGCATGTAGAAACCCACTAGACCCAAGTCTTTGCCCATAGAAACCTGTTAGAGGCCTGGGTCTTTGCGTGTAGAAACCCATTAGAGGCCTGTGTCTTGGCATGTAGAAGCCTGTTAGAGGCCTGTGTCTTTGCATGTAGAAGCCTGTTAGAGGCCTGGGTCTTTGCGTGTAGAAACCCGTTAGAGGCCTGGGTCTTTGCCCATAAAGTCCTGTTAGAGGACTGGGTCTTTGCATGTAGAAACCTCTTAGAGACCCAGGTCTTTGCATGTAGAAACCTGCTAGGCCCAAGTCTTTGCTCATAGAAACCTGCTAGAGGCCCGAGTCTTTGCATGTAGGAACTTGTTAGAAGCCCGGGTCTTTGCATGTAGAAACTTGTTTGAGGCCCAGGTCTTTGCCCATAAAATCCTGTTAGAGGACTGGGTCTTTGCATGTAGAAACCTCTTAGAGACCCAGGTCTTTGCATGAAGAAACCTGCTAGGCCCAAGTCTTTGCCCGTAGAAACCTGCTAGAGGCCCGGGTCTTTGCATGTAGGAACCTGTTAGAAGCTCGGGCCTTTGTGTGTAGAAAACTATTACGCCCAAGTGTTTTCCTGTAGAAACCAGTTAGAGGCCCAGGCCCTTGCGTGTAGAAATCTAATAGAGACTCAGGTCTTCGCATGTGAGCCCGGCTATGTGTTTGCTATGGGTCCCTGAGAAACCTCTGACCCCTGTGGGCTCCGCTTTCCGAAATACCCCTGAGGGATGAACGCTTTGTGCTTGTAAACTTTAATTTCCATACAGTAGAGAAACATACAGTACAAGCAACACTGGGAATCGTTTTACAGCAAAGCTCACAGATACTCCCGGAGACACTCGTGTTCCCCAGATGAGAGACGAGAGTCCACGAGAGCCACTGGCCCTGGCCGCGCTCCCAGGAGAACGGCTGCACCATCCAGAGCTGCAGGGGCGGGGCAGTGGCTCAGTCCTTGCACCCTGGCCGGTCCGCCTCCCGTGTGGGTCGCCCCGGGGTCACCTCGGGCAGGACTGACCTCTCCGGGCAGCAGGCTGACCCTCTGCGTTGGGGAGCCATGCCTACTCCCTGCCGGCCTCCTGGGGGGGCGGACCCCAGTGCCAGGGTAGGGCTCAGCTGGGCGGCCGGGGACACTGGCTCAGTGCCTGCAATGGACCAGACTCCTAAGGAGTCAGAGGTGGCCTGTCCTTTAGGGACCGCAGGTTGGCGGGCAGGCAGCCCTGGCCCTACCATGTGGTGGGTCCTGTGGGCAAGGGAAGCCAGGGCTGAAGGTCAGGGGGATGGTAGTGGGGGAGGAGGGGTTTTGGCAGCTGGGGCCTGACAAAGGTGGGGGAAGGGAGGGGGTGGAAACAGGTGGCCATGGCAGACAGGTGTCCACAGGTGCAGAGGCGGGAAGCTGGGAGGGGAGGGGACTTCCAGGGACTCCAGGAGTTTCCTAGCCATCCCAAGAACTTGGAAGTGACCTTCACGAGCATCTCTCCAAGGAGACATTGGGCTTCCCTCCTGGCACTGGGATGCAGATCCAACGCTTCCCCCAAGGCAGAGATTCAGACCCCTGGCCAAGCCCGGCCTCCGGCTCTGCCCCTGGGTGGCCCAGGAGGAGGCTGCTGGTCCCGCTGAGGACCGATGCTGGTCCTTCGTCCTGACTGGGGAGGCGGCACTCCCGCCGTCCCCTGGCTCTGGCGCTCAGCACTGGAGGAAGGGAGCCCCCTCACACGACCACCTCGGGCGCGATGCTGAAGAGGAGGTCGTCGTTTCCCCGCCGCACCTCCAGCAAGAGCGGGGACTCGGTCAGGATGGCCTCCTGCAGCTCGCTCGAGTCCGCCAGAGGACGCCCGTTGACCTTGACGATGATGTCGCCGTCTTGGATGCCGCCTCTGCCGACAGGAGAGATACGGTCACTGCCTGGGTCAGACTTCACAGCGGCCCGTTTCTGTGGTCTGTTTATTTGTGTCAGGGTCTCACTCTGTTGCCAAGAGGGAGTGCAGTGGCACGGTCACCACAGCCTCAACCTTCTGGGTTCAGGCGATCCTCCTGCCTCAGCCTCCCAAGTAGCTGACGTGACCGGCGCACGGCACTACACCCGGCTAACTTTTTGTAGAGACGAGGTCTCACTATGTTGCCCAGGTTGGTCTCGAACTCCTGGGCTCAAGCAATCCTCCTGCCTTGGCTTCCCAAAGTGCTGGGATTGCACCTGTGACCCACCGCGCCTGACTGACAACAGCACTTTAACAAAAACCATCTTGACAGGAAAGAACGGCACCCTGACCCCAAAGCTCTTACGCCGGAAGCAAACCAATGTCACTGGGTGGGCAAATGGTGTTTCCCGCTCACGCTTCCATACATCAGACGGGTACAGGGGCTTGAGTTCTAGTTCTGGCTATGCCTTCCTAGCTGGGCCAGGTTCTCTGTCCCTTTGACCCTCCGTTTCCCCATCTATTTTCTTGTCTTTCTTTCTTTTTTTTTTGAGTCGGAGTCTCACTCTGCCGCCCAGACGAGTGCAGTGGCCACTCCCGGCCACCGCAGCCTTGACCTGCCGGGCTCCGGCGATCCTTCCGCCTCAGCCTTCC